TATATAATACTACTCTTAAAAGGGGGATTTATAAATACGTCTGTTGATATTTCTGCTTTATGTAATTCAATGTATTTCTTCCTCTTCAGGCTGTGCTGAGTCCTCTTATAGCAATCGCACTGAAAATATCTCAGATTCACGAGAGGACGGGGCGAAAGGGACCCACTGTCATCACCTGAAGCTACAGAAGATCGTCAAACCAGGGCCAAAAGAGGAACAGCAAGGAAGAGACAGGACCTTGCTGAAACATGTTAGCCATTTGTGCCTTATATGATTTTAAAAGTTTTCTTGGGGATAGAGGTGGGGTGGGAAGAAAAATTCAGTATAATATTGAGCATGTTCATTTGCATTGAACTTCAAATACAATAATGTATTGACTTCTGTGTTTTACCTGCAATATCTTAAATTCAGTATATAACAGTATAACCAAAAAAGGGGCCTTAACCTTAAAATGTTATTAGCAATGTGACAGAAAATAAAAACTGCTTGTTTCTGAATGCTGAGTAAAGGTTGGGGAAATTTCAGTTAGGGTGAGAGAGGGAGGAGTTGCAAAGCAAAGACATGCTTGGTGAATATTGTTTGGGATCCTCGTCACCTTCTGTTTGGTTTATGAAGAGAGCGTGTGTGAGCCATAAGGGCTGTACACTAAGCTTTGCAAAGGGTGCATTTCCTCACCTGACACCTCCTCTTCTCCTGTCTCTCCCATTGCTCACAGATGCATGCTGGCAGCACTTGCACATGCTCCTGAAGAAGGGGTTATCCTATATTTTTTTTTTACCCCTGCTTTTCAAGCATATCAATGTGATTTAGATTTTCCTGATTTTTTGGCTCTCTATTTTTTTTCCTCCAAAGGGAGGCATTTTTGCTATAGAAGCTGATTCTGCCCTTCCAGCAATATGTTGGGTGTGGAATTTGGCTGTCTTTTGCAGTATTCCTCGTGTCAGCAGATTATATTGGTGCTCACTGTGTTTGAAAGGTAATCACTTCAAGTTCAGCAATTTTTCATGAAGGTTTATAATGGAATTTTTTTAAGTCTTTGGAATACTAATGCTTCACCACAGAGTGCTAAGTGAAGTGTGTAGGGCAGAGGAAATGAAAACAAATGCTAATGAATTAAATAGAAATACTTATCTGAATCACGAGCTGGATGCAATTTCTGTTAGATTCTTTATAAGATTGGATCATGGAATAAAAAGCTGGGGAGAGTAGAGGGAGGAGAGATGTCCCAGCATAGATCTGAGAAGGGTATTGGGGATATGGACTCAGCATTTTTCTGCTTGTGAAATGATACTGCAGTTCTAGCCACAATACTGTGCTCTGAAGAACAACACAATCACCTTATGCACGTGACTCATTTGAAAGCTTTGCTTCCTTGGGAACAGTGTGGTCACTTGTATCGTTTGTCAAGGTGGCTTCGAGCAACTTGCCTCTTTGCAGTGTGTTTCAGCTCATTGTGGTTGTCAAATTTTAGTGCAATTTATATAATATTGCATCAAAGGAAATTCTTAGGATTTCTTTCAACACTTCTGTCAAAAATTACTCTGGCACTTACGACACAATAAAAGAGTAACGCTGTATTTTCTGTCTTAATACGTGATTGTGGACAAGACACGCTGCACTTTCAAGCATCCTAATAAAACTGCCTTTCATACAGTTACATTATCCACTTAATTGACTCTAAACAAATGAGGTACTAATGTTCTCACCATACCAGTACGTATTCCCATAAACCAAAAGAGATTTTAAAGCTTTGGTTCTTCCTATAAAGTTTTTTTTTGGAGACAGCTGTAGCATTCTCACATGGCTGGGACATCTACTTTTGAATGCAAGAATATTCATCTTTACAGAAACCTTCTTTATCTAATCTTTCATTTTCCTCATAGATCACACTCTCTAGGTGCAGCTCCTAACTAGTGGATCATACACGGTTAAGCATAGACGTACTGGGGATTACGACACTTACTGAGTTCGCATGACTGGGCTGCATGAAAGGATGTTCTGAAAGGCAGTCCTAGAACTTCTTACATGTTCTCTGGCAACGAAATAATTTTTGATCACATAGTGAACCAGCTAGTTATAGTACCAATTATCCCATCTGTCATGTTTCTGGGGCTGGGACTTGCACTTCAAAAAGTCAGATGTACTGAAGCCAGGTGTCTTTCAAGGTGCAGTGGGAAGACTTCGGAGGAACATATCAGGCCTGTGCAGACACATATTTGTGCTTTTATCAGGAAGTCACCAGAGCACTAGCTGCAGTAGGTGGCACTGCTTTCATGAAGCCAGTCTTTGAGAACAAAGGATGTAATTTAAAATCTCTGTACTGCTTCAGAAACAATAGTTGTGCATCTGTACTGAAATGGAGAAAAGGGTGGGTTTTGTGTGGTTTTGAACAACTGTCAAACACCAGACTTCCAGAACTAGCCTAGCCCCAAATCCACTCAACATCCCTTTTTTATGAGGACTGGTGATACTGATGAAATGTAACAGCCAGTATGTTCCACCAGTTATTTGCTTTTCTCTGCAAGATTAATAAAACTTTGTAAGGCTGAAGTGCAATGTGTATCTTTACATCTGATGCGTTTGGGGAAGGACTGTAGCTGTGTTTCCCGAGGCCTTTTACTTATTAACAGGAGAGATGAATGCTTGAAAAGAGCAACACGTGAACTTATACAAAGATGCAAGGTTTCTAAAAACAGACCATACATCTGTCAGAGGGAAAAAGACCATACATCTGTCAGAGGGAAAACTATTATTAATACTGTTTGTCTTATCAGTGTCTAGGCACTATGACAGAGTTCCAGGCGCTTCTGTGACTATTGCTGGATTAGCAGTTTTGTCAATGCTGGAAATTGCAAGATTCCCATGTTGTTCAGCTCTGATCACACTAACATTTACCTGGACAGTAATTCTGTTTCCCAAGACCTCAGATTTTTCTGTAACCAAAAATACAAATATATAATCCCAGCATGCTGGAGGAAAAGGAAAAAGAGGTATTCGGAGAGACCAGTGAGAGAGTGAACAATTTCGAGGTGCATTAGCAGAGGGCTGACCAAGACAGGGCTTGTTGGGTCTGAGGAACAGAGAAAGAGGCAGCAGGTGGCAGAGGGGATTAGGAGAGGACAGATTGCTTAATTTAGCTGGAAAGAGAGATGTGACCGAAGAATACTAATGGCACAACAATGGATTTGAGAGAGAAGGAAAGAGAGAAAAAGGAATTAAAGGTGGGAAGGGAGCATAGACTAGGAGTGATTTAATGATCTTCAGTATTAAACCTATTTATAATCTCATCTGTTTAATGTCAGTGTATTGTAGTAACTGCTGTCATGAACTAAGGTAAATAATAGTCTACTCTAAGGGGGAAATAAGGGCAAATTTGGAGCTGTATGGATTGGTGACTGCTATAACATACTTGAGCAGTTTACAAATACAATAGCTGAGACCAGATTACTGAAAATGGTGGAAGAGTGTAGTGCCAGTGTGACTAGAAGCAATAAAATGTTGGTGTAGTCTCACTGGGGAGCATGGATGGGGGATTTTACCACACAGGCTTGAAGCATCTACTCTTCGACATTGAGTGGTTTGAGCTAAGTCATAAAATACCAGCAAACTGTACAGGAAAATGGTTATTATATTTTCCCTTCGGAGAAGTGCCCTTCTGTAAGAGACTTAGTGGCAGGATGAGAAACACATTGTGTTCAGAAACAATTTATAAGGCAGCAGTGCTCACCTGAACCATGGGATCCGAGAGTGCTTGAGGTTGGAAGGGACCATCTAGTCCATCAGGGCTATAATCACTTAGTCCATCAGCCAGCTCATAGTAGGGTAGAGGAGGTTGCCCAGGACCATGTCCAGTAGGGTTTTGATGACCTCCAAAACCTCTCTGCCCAAACTGTTTGTGTTTGACCACTCACAGGAAGAAAATCACTGACTTTATTGAGTGTTAAGTTGGAATTTAATGGGTTTCAGTTTGTGCCAACTGCCTATTGTCCTGTCACTGGGTACCAGTGAGAAGAACCTCTTCTTTCTCTCCCACCAGCTATTGATAGGAATCAGTAAGATCCCTCCCAAGTGTATTGTATTATGTGCTTATCCTGTATCATGGGCAGCTTGTATCATATAAGCAAATACGAGGCATTTGCTTTAAATACAAATTTTATTCATGAATTCAGTAATAAAATAGCAGCTATTAGTACCAAGTAACTTGTAAGGCATATGATACAAAAATAATGTTACAATAAATAATTTACATGTTCCCAACAAAGGCTGAACTAATAGGTTTCCCAAGTCAGGTGATGTTACAAAGCTGCAAATGAGGACTTTCAGATGAAACTCCTTATGAGGCACCAGACTTTTAAGACTGATAACACATGTTGTTTCATTTATCTTGTAGCATAAGAAACTGCTATTGCCAGTGATGTTGACTTTTATAAGATAGAGCCTGATCGTTTCTACCTCTGGAGATTCATTCTGCTTTGAAATACTGAGCACCTTTTTATATATCCCTCCAATTCCACTCAGACACTTAAAACTGTCAGCGCTTCTCCTTGGGCAGTTTTGCCCCATGTGGCGATCACTGACATGCCTCTTCTTCCAATTATTTCTGCTTCACAGACACTGAATTTTACCCACTGCCCACCTCAGATGTTATCAAAGAATCATAGAATCAGAGAATCATAGAATGGTTAGGGTTGGAAGGGATCTTAAAGCCCATCTAGTTCCACCCCCCCTGCCATGGGCAGGGACACCTTGCACTCGACCAGGTTGCTCAAAGCCTCATCCAGCCTGGCCTTGAAGACAGCCAGGGATGGGGCATCCACAACATCTCTGGGCAACCTGTTCCAGTGCCTCACCACCCTCTCTGTGAAGAATTTCTTCCTGACATCTAATCTAAACCTCCCTGATTTCAATTTGTACCCATTACCCCTTGTCCTATCACTACAGGCTCTTGTAAAAAGTCCCCTCCCAGCACTCTTGTAGGCCCCTTCAGGTACTGGAAGGTGCTATAAGGTCTCCCCAGTTATGACAGATGTTGCTCTTTCTGAGGTCTGCTGGCAGTCTGTATCCTGTTGGTAACTGTTTTCTTGTGTGGATGGATGAGAATTTGACTCCAATCCAGGGTTTGAGTCTTGGTCAGCAGTTTGCTGTCGCCGTGGCTGCTGCACAGGTAGTTCATACGGTGGTGGCTGTTCCTGCTCATTAGTTTCACTCATGAACTCTGTGCTGCTTTTGCTATACGGAGGTGGAGGGAAATTGATGGCTTCTTGCTGTTTCACTGTGGAGGAAACCGGCAGTGGGTAGGTCTGGTTTTCAGGATCTGTGCTGTCTTCATAGGAGGGGGGATAGAAGTCAGGCCTGAATAAAAGCAAACTGAAAAGAAACACATCATGGTGAAATGCGAAAATTCTCAGCTTTGTTAGATGCTTCGTCTGTTATGTTTCCCAAGTTTGGATGAGGCTTAAACTGTAAATGGAAACCTAAGTAGCTTTAGATCAACAGACTGTATTAGTATAAAACAGCTGGCATACCTGACATCATTACCTGTGTCTTTCTGCAAAATATTTTATGACAACACAGCATTCTAAACACACGAGCCTTCCCCTTACAGAGTCCCCACTGAAGGCATAGAAACACTCATGCTTCTGCTATTTCAGTAAATGCCTCAGAAAAATTTTATTTGGAAGAAGAAAGAGATCACTGTCCAAAGTAGGTTGAATTAGTGAGTTGTTTATTATTATAGTAATCATTGTTTTCCACAGTTTTAAAATACATGTTGCTTGTTCCTGATTATCTAACCAGAATTTGCTGAATGTTTTTTTATAGTGCTTTTAGAACACCCGTTTTCAGTGTTTCTGCTGTGGTTTCCACAACAGTCCAGGAAAAGTAATTTGTATCCAGTGACTCTGTTAAAGACTTTTGTCAGGCCTAGTGCCAATCAGTCTAAGAACCTTTTTCTCAAAGCATCAGACTTTGCTGAGAAATAGTGGGGGACACTTACACAGGAAAACTTAGGCAGGGACCATATCAGGGGCTGAAGCTCCCTGCATGCCGCATTGGTAATATGAGCACGTATTCCCACAGCAGCACATCTGGAATTGTCTGTTGAGACAGAACTAATGATGCTGCTGCAGGAGCTCCATTAAGTCGGCGTAGTTACATCTGGTCCCTCCATGCACGGCTTAGGACCACTCCGTGCAACCTGCCACGTTTCCTATATTATTATATATTCCTTACCTTCTGTATCATTTGCGCAAATTGCTGTTTGCACATTGCTGTTCGCTCTAGCAAATCAAATTTCAGAATACAGTTCTCTCCACAGAAATGCAATAAAATGGCTACATATGGGGTTTTTTTTACTTCTCAAAGTACGTTTACAAAACGGCATCCTGCCCTCCTGGTTTGTGAGCAGCCATCTGCAACACATACCTGTCTATGGTGCTGACATGTCGCTCTCTGTGGCTGGGATTTTGAATGAAGATGCTGCTGAGGCCCCTGTATTTCAAGACTTCATGGAAAATGCTCCAGAAAATGCCAGTCACAAGGAGAAAAAAACCCACAGCAAATAGACAGTAAAACACCAGCTCGTTATTTCCACAAGTGTACGTGGAGGAACTTGTGGAAATGCAAAGGGCACCCAGACAAATAGTGGAGAAACCGAGTAAGAGCACAAAAAACCGAATGAAAGTAGAAACACTTTTTGGCATCTTCCCCAGTAGACACAGCACTTGGTTCATATCTGCTGTTTGTTTGCTGGCTGTCTTGGATGTGTTTCTCATCTTCATGCACTGGCATTTTATACACTTCAGGATCAACTGGCCTTTGGACAATTGAGAGAAACAGGCCATTTTAAGATACTCATTAACTCTTCAAGATACTAATAATTTCTTTTGAGATTAATTTGTAACCTTAAACCTACGTTAAGGAAGGAAACAGGACCTTCCTGCACCATACCTTTGACACTGTAATCTCCAGAGTGCATACGGAACTGATGCATTCGTTGCATGTTTCAATTTGCAGTGGTTTACACGCTCGTTAGTTTATGAATGAGAGCTGTCTTTAAAAACCCCAAACAACAAACAATAAAACCACTGCACATAATTCCCTGTTAAGAGCCTGAAGGGAAATATACTTCCTTTTTAATCATGCATTTTCATCTTTCATTGGATTTTAGTCTCTCTCTGTCTTCAACACATTATTCAACTGCATTGATATTTATCACAGTCCTTTGAAAAAGGATAAATTTTTAGCTTGCAATGTGATATGTTCAATTAATTTAGTATATAAAATTAAAGAAATCAATATTGCATAATGTCACAGAAGGACGTAGACATACAAGAAATCTCCTTCTTTGTCTGCAGATTCAGCTGTACTCTGATTCCTTTACAGTTGTTCTTTTCTCTCTTCCAGCAATTTTTAGTGACTGATTCTCAAAAGGGTCAGTACTCAAAGCTATGCAGGAATACCTATACTCATTTCTCCAACTATGCTTAGACATCTGAAATTCAGAGATACTTGCTACCAACAGATTTTAGGCCTAAATATTGCTACCTACAGTGCAAAATAAATAATTTATAATTAGCCCATGGATTATCTCTTGGAGAGCATACCCACTGATTTTTGACAAGCCGTAGCAAACTCCATAATCAGAACTTGACTAGTCTATTAATGCTGTCTTATTTGGAAAGCTACTCATTATGTTTCTGAGTATTTTCAACAATGGAGTAACTAACCAGACCTTGCTTAGGTTTGTTGTAAAATCTCTATTGCACACAGTGAGACAATCAATTCAAAAAGTAGGCTCAGGCTCAAATCTTTATTGCAATAATGAGTTTATTGTGGGTATTGTTGGGTGGTACTGAATGGGGTGGGTTACGTATAGGTAAGAGCAGATAATTATCAGAATTTTCTGCCATGGCCTATAAGAGGATTTCTTCCTACCTACTATAGACTCTTTATTTCACTAACACAGTCTGGGGGAGCTGTAGGACTTTCTAATATACTGCATGGTTCTAGATGCTCTACATCATTTATGCAAATCCTGAAAGAATCATGTTTGATGGAATGAGGAAGACTCCAGCTCTTCCTACCCTAGACACTCCCTGCAGCTCTGGAGGGGGAAGCCCTTCACAGACACTTTCAATAGGGCACCTGAGCTTTGAATGTTCCACTTACAGAAAATAATTTAGATTTCTGACTGGCCAGGAGTCCTGAAAATACTGGGTCTGTTGTCTCTCCCTGTCCGTCCCAGGCTGTACCTGTGTGGGTTGGACCACAACACCGAATCTCATCTCACAGAACCCTTAAGGTATCTCATGCAACAATTCATGTCTCCTCAGCATTGTATTTTTCTGCCTCGTGTTTATCCAAATGTGGTGGATGTTAATTTATAACAAATCAGAGTGTTTGTAAGGAAACAGCAACTGGTACAAAGCTGCCACACATTCTGATCAAGCACAATTATTTCAAGCTCCCACCACCATTACTACTTCTTTAGTTCTCAAAGGATCTGCAAAGCCATTCTCACATTTCAGGATCTACCAGAACATCAACATCAAGAGCAAATTTTGTAAAACATTATAATAATTAGACAGAATTTTTCTAAGGTGAGACATGTCACAACAAGAGTGAAAACACACTAAGATCAGCTACTGCCCTTCCTAAGGAAGGCGTTCAGGTAAGGAGTGATTTGGAAGCCTTCATTCCAGAGCAAAATCCTGCCAAAGCTGAAATAGTCCTGTTCTCTCAGCCACCAACACAGCATTGAGGAAGCGTGGCATTGCTTCATGTGCAGGTAAGAGTAAGAGGGAATGCCAGCTAATCTGTTGCTGATACGATAAACCAGGTGATAAAAGTTGAGTGCTTCCCACTCTGCGATGCCTTCTCACAGTTCCTTCGGGTCATGTTTCCTGTAAGCCTCCTTTTCCTTTACCAGAAGTCACCTATTTATTCTGATCTGAGTGTGTGAAACTCGCATTCCCATGTAACTTCCTGTACTATACTTACCCTGATCAGTTATGACAAGAAAATCATCTTACCAGTAACTTATTAGGCTGTCAATATTCTTGTTGCATGAGGACATCACAGACTGATACCTCAGGATCATTATACACAATAGCAATTCCCAGGCATACTTAAATATACCAAATCTCTAGATGCATTGGATGCACAACACTTGTACACATTCCACTTGGATGCTGTGAACCTTGATCCCAGCCTGTACAATAGCAAATCTCTCTGCTTTATATTTTCGTATGACATAGCTGAGGAAGCCAGTAATAACTGTTTATCTCTATGGTTTGGGCTACTGCCTCACAGAAAACCTGATAATAATTTGGGGAAAAACATGGTTTCCCGCTCATGGATGAATAGAAATTTAAATTGCTAAGCAAAGCTTTCCCTTAGGAGCTCATGGTTTGTTCAGTACCACTGCTACAGGTTTCCAGCCGTGCAGCTGGGAAGGTGGCTAGCAATTTTGGATGGCAATAGCAACCTGTTTCTCAGTGCTGCATTTCCCTGAAAGGTCAAAATGAGTGCCCATTTCCTCTCCAGGAATGTGCCTTTTCCCACCCAGGCCTTGCAGATCCAGGACTGTGTAGCAGCGCTGCTCAAGACCTCTGCTCCTGTTTCAAAACTGCTGGTCTGCTTGACAGGGGTTTCATCTGCCCTTAAAAATCTGCATCAGCCATGCCAAGCACCGTGCTGACTTCCCACCATCCAAAGCTACAGCTAAAAACCCTGTCACTGCGTCTGGAGCCCTGCACCTTCTCCTGTTGCTGAAATAGTAGTTTGATTGATGTCTGCACTGAATATGTACTTCCAGGCTGGATCTGGCCCCCTGTCACCACACAGAAGAAAGGCTGCAACACTCATCCCAGGCTGCAGTTTAACACGTTCCTGGGCTACTACCATTTTTGCCTGGGAGAGGGCAAATTAATTATGCCCCACCACACTGAGAAGCAGTTGGCAGAGAGGCTCAGACCACTGCAGCACTGGCAGCATGGTGTGTTTCCCCAGCACCCAGACTGCTGCACGTGAGCCTGGCGTGGGCACAGGCAGCAGGGTCTTCCTCCTCAGTGCGACGGCTTTTACCGCGCCCTTCAGAGAGGAGGTTGAGGTGGGACAACTGCCTCAATCAGGTTGAGTTAATGCTGCAGGTAAATCGCTGCATTGTTCAGCATTTTAGCAGTGTATGTACACAGAGGAGCTGAACCTGTTCATTGTGTACAGAGTTCAGCATTGTACGCCAATGGGGTCTGTGCTATTTTTATGGAGTAATAGAAAAAGATTACCTTGAAATTTGAACTCAGAATGCACCTTAACTGAATGCAAAGCTAATTTTCTGCTTCTTATGATAAGGAAAAACTCCCCTGTATGTTCCTCTGAATCTTGCACATGCATATTTTGTAATGAGCTATAAAATGTTTATCTTTGTGGCATGGAAGTTTTCTGTCAGTCTTATTCACAGCGAGCTGTCCCGTACTCCTGAGATGAATCCTGAGACGAAAGGGAGTCAATGTTGTGTGTTGGCACTTTTAATGGGTTTTAGTTCTTTTAAAACAAAGGTTCCCTACAGACAAGATGAATCCTGCTTTTGTCATCCTTCAGTAAAAGCATGACTTCGTGTGATGCCTATACTACCCTGAAACTGGCTCTAAGTGCAATAAGCTCACTTTTCATGTGCTCTTAGTTCGTGTGCCTGCACTGCAGGCAGGCTGTGGTCTGCTTTCGTGGGGACACCTACCAGTCATTAACACTCCTTGGTGTGATCTTGCACATTTTCTGGAAGATGTGTTCCAGCAGTCCTTGAGGATGAGCCAGGATGGACATACAGAGGTATGTTCGATAGGTCCATATCAATACATATGCATTCATACTGACACTGACACAGCAGGGAAATGGGCACACGTATGTAACAACTGCTGCTCTCTGGGGGGATATATACTCTCTCTTTTTTCCTCTGTCTTGTCAAGATAAAGTGCCACTGAAGAATATCAGTGTCTGACAGGTATCAGGCTGGATTCAACAGAAGTTTTACTCATCTAAGCACGAGGTGTTTCCATCTGTAACCTTGGGGCAGTGAGCCTAGGAATCTGACATTAAGCACCTGCGTGCCCTGCGCAGTCCATAAAGGAGTCCAGCACCTTGGACTGGGGCCCAGATCTCCCCGAGGGCTGTTGGGGAACTCCCAGATAGTAGCCAGCAGGTTTGCTAGACGTGAGCTACCCCAAAGCTATGCTGAGCTCTGAATACCACTCAAAGGTTGCTCCCTGGCTGCTTAATCTGGGGCTGATGGATATTTCAAAATGCAGCTCACACCTACTGCTGCCATGGTAAGTTACATACTGCCTAGTAAGATTCAGGGTACAAAATACAGCAAAAATTCAGCTGCAAAAAGCAGGTGGTGGGCACAACAGATTCCTTCCCTTAAAAGAGCTGCTCCACTGGGGAAGGCATAATGTGGAGAAAATTCCCACTGTCATGAGGTGCCACTTAGCACTTGTGCAGGTACAGGTTTGTCAGGGACTGGGGGAATCACGGAAAACTGTTTGTTCAGCTAGTTTCACAAAATTCAGGTCTGCAAAGGAGGTGGCCTAGTCATGACATAGGAAAGCAGTGACGAGGAGGGGCAAAGCCATGCACTGGCATTTGTGCAGGGAAGAAGAGAGTGGAGGCTGGGGGCACTAGGGGCAGGTGGGGCACAGTG